ATATCCAGAGATATCATCAAAAATCCATGAATATCAGTTATACGAAGATTCGTGTACTTTCAAGAAGGTTCTTGAACTTTAACTCAGTTCCATGAACTCAAAGCCTATATAAAGTTCCCTGAATATGTAGAATATTCTACGAAATCCTGGGATTTTTCGTCAACTTCTTCAAAGTTCCCAGAACTTCAAAGATTTTTCCATTGCTTACATCTTTTAATTTTTCGATAGGTACAACTGAATTTCTGCCCAGCTTGTTGTACTTGTACGAATTTTAAATAATTCATGCGATGTTCCGTAATCATCGTCCACGAAGTTGTTTAACATTCTACAAAGTATCCTGAAAATCTATGATGGTCCCTGAAGTTTTACTAAACAACAAAGAACAAATTCTACTACAGATATTCCAAGAAAGGTTCATAGTGGTAAAAGAGTCTCAAATTAAAAAAAAAACCCGGGATACACGCGATCCCGGGATTTTTAAATTAATTTCCCGGGATTCGGAAATCCCGCGAAATGTATTAATCCCGGGATTTTCATCCCGGGATATCCCGGTATTGAAGCTCTACTCCATGGTACCAGAAAATACATAGTTATATACATTATTCGCAATGATGTGATATAACCACAACGGGATGGCCGTTCAGAATGATTCAACGGATGTGAAATGAGGGAAAATTTAAATTTTACATGATTTATAGCAGGGGAAATGTCGGTTTCGGCAATACCTTAACCTATTATCGGGTAAAGAAAGTCCTAGAGTACTCAAATTTGATCAATAGATGCTCTGAAACACAATGTATCCATATGCCAAATTGAGCTCTCAAGGATGTTGTTAACCCCCTGACGATAATAGAATAAGGTGTTGCCGAAGCCGTCATTTACTATTTCAGCGCAACATTACATTTGTTTACTAACAATTAACACATTTTTTAATATGTTATCTTAACTAATTTCTGGACGAGTTTACTTGTGTTTCATACAATTAGTATCAATGTTCCGTCATACCCCAAGTAGCAATTGGGGTTTTATAAGCGTTCTGTAGACTAGGATTTAGACTTGTAGCATGCTGTAAAACCGTGATAAAACTTGCAATGTTACTTGGGACCGTATCTTCAAGTGATCTTCGCAAGCGCCACATTCCGTTCAGGCTCTTTGGAACTACTATACATGTGATGAAATATGAAACGGTCCTTTTAAAGTGAATTGCTCATAACACTGTCCAGTGACACCACTTACTCACTGCCTCGTCCAACCTGGCAAAACACGCCGTAACCCTCACTGAATCCAAGGGTAGGGACGAAGTCTGGCCTTAATGATGGCCCAAAACTTCTCAATCGGGTGAAGTTCCGGCGAGTTCGGTGGGTTGACGTCTTTTGGTACAAAAACAACATTGTTGTCTCTGTACCAGTCTAACACCGGCCACGCGTAGTGGCAGGTTGCCAAATCCGGCCTAAACAACGTCTCGTCTCCGTGAGACCGCAGGAAGGGTATTAGGGGCTTCAGGAGGTATTCGTTCCGGTAGATTTACCCGTTGATGGTACCCGTCTTTATGTAGGGCTGACTCATCTTGCCGCACCCACAAATGGCCTGCCAAAGCAATAACTTTTTGGCGAATTTGTCCACCTTCTTCTTCCTTACCTTTTAAAGAACGGCCACCCACCCGCATAAACAATAACCATAAGAAGCGCCTAACCACCAATTCGGGATATCATCCCAATTTTATGTGATATGGTCGTACCATTTATGATATCGTTAGTCTATGGTACCTGTTTATTAGGGGAGAGTTTTGATCGCTACTAATCTAAAGCTAAGAGACATTGATTCACACCAGATATATGAAATGAGATATGGGTCATATAAATCATGCAATCGGAGGATGACCTACATCTTATATCAAATGATGTTTGAAAATGTGGAAATGGTTTTGGTAATAATAAACCGATGAAATGCTCTCTAAACGCTCTTTAACTTCGTAGCTACTCAGATTTTCTGTCCTGCTCTTTCTTTTTTTTTACGTAGGACTTCGTCTGTGATTTCTATATGGTGGTACACTTAGTGAAAACCGAAAATAGAACATGTAACGAAATTATGAAAGATTTTGAACGTTAATAACTTAGCTGCCACTGGACCAATTTCAGTAATTTTATCCCCAATCGATCAGAAATATTCCAACGCATACTTTCGACTATTGATTTTCAACAAGAAACCATTGAAAACGTGGTAAATGTCAAGTATTGTACAAAAGCATAGAAATGACTAACAATTCCACCAATTACGTACATGCATATGCTGCTTCCCCAACACAGTCATTAGAGAATCGTTTCTAGACGAAACATGTCGAAGTAGCATTGCTGCTTCCCCAACACAGTCATCAGAGAGTAGTAAGTAGACGAAACAAGTTGAAGTGGCATTCGCCTCCGATCTTTGGGCGTGTGCGAATAGGGAGGATGCAATTGCGTAACATTTTGCGCACTCATCGCCATATTCAGAACCACACGCCCCCAACGACCACACAAAATACTCTCCAGAGTTGTAATCTTGTAACCAAACTTGGAAGCAGGGGTGCAAGTGATTTTGATCGATTCTCTTCATCGACTTTCTGTTTCGTTAATAACTCAAAGCAGAAATAGTGCGAAATAGGTTTGTGAAGCCATGGTCATCAAAAGAGAAAATCGATGAAGAGAATTGACTTTCACCCCTCTGTTTCTAAGCCCCTTAATTCAGTCGTCGTCATAGCAATGAAAACTAACATCGCTCCGCTTTTGGTTCTTGGGTTACACTTGCTGGTTTCAATTCTGCTGTGGAAACATGAATTACACTTTTTTTTAGGGATGCCTAAAAGTCAAATTATTCGATTAACGATTAATCGTAAAGATTTTCCCAGCTATTCGATTCAATATTTATCAAATTATCGAGCGTGTAACCGACATCCCTTCTTATTTCTAGTCGTTTGATTTGGCGCAGTAGAGAAAATAAATAAAAGAACTAATTTATCTGAACAGGCATAGAGAAGAACCATGACGTGAAACAGAATCATAAATTCGTCGAAAAAAGTGTTAAGCGTCTTTCTGCTAAAGGCTAAGATTTACCAACTGATACTGAGAGAAGGAGTTTAACGAGAAAAACACAAAAGGGGAGGAGCTTTAGCTGGGTGGACACTGATATTCTGCTGCCTTCTAACCTGTCGCAGACACCAGTTAAACCCCTGTCCAGCAGCAGATGGGCCGAGATTCTTGCGAGTACCCAATCATTGAATCGAAGAATATGGGATTGTCCGGTCCGATTTGCTGATCCAGCTGCCTACACGTCATCATCTTCTTCCAAAGGCTTCAAGCCTGTTTTATACCATCGGCCCTTTTCAGGGCCTGCAAGATTTGCCAAAAGAATTACATTTCGAAACATGTCCCAACTAAAAGTCACACTAAAGAGTATAAACAGAGATAAACCCGCTCAAATTCCTATTCCTACACAAAACACAAGCTTCTGCTGCAGTTAACAAATAACATTTATTATATAAGACCACGTAGTCCTACGTCACCAATGCGTCACCCTATAGGGCTGCCTATTGTAGTTTTTTTTTAATTAGAGGATCGGAGCGACGTGCAAGCATCTAGAGTAAGCCTCTTAAAGAAGATTCTAAAGAAAACGTTAAGAAGATTGTAAAAGAAGCTTTGAGAAGAAGCTTTTAAAGAAGATTCTAAAAGATGCTCATTCTAGACGCTTGCCCGTCGCTCCACTCCTCTGACTAAAAAAACACAGGCAGGACAGAAAATCTGACAAGCTACAAATTAGAGGAGAATTTTTCCAAGGTTTAAGGAGCATTTCATCGTTTTAATATTATGTTTCCATAGCAGCTATTTGAAATTGCGTTTCAACGTAGATAAGAGGCTATTCATAAACCACGGACACACTTTAAAATAGTATGATCGATCGTCTATGCACAGCGAGAGAATGGTTTTTTTATTAACTTTATTTAGGAGATTTTTAGCCACGGGCTACTTCATCTCCGAGCGAGAAATAGGTATAAACCGCTAAAAATAAATCTACGTCGTTTATCCACAGCCCCTCATATCCATACCATAGAGGTAACCCTAAGACTAGAAGGTCCCGAAGAAACGTGCTCAACTATTTTGCTCAGCTCTGGTACTCTCTTCGGTCCCAAGCTAATCGATGCACCCCTCGAAACATAGGAAAATCCACGAACCCCTCATGTTATCTGTCAAACTTTCATAGCGAATCAAAACAAACATAGTGTAGTACTAGAATTTTGACTAGAATGGGGTACGTTAACCGTTTGCTGGGGACCAATAGGCTAGTCAAGTAGCGAGCCAATTTAAAATCGTTAGTTTCCACCGATTGTCCGTACTGCCTGCTTGGATCCCAAATTAGTGACATTTACTGTTTGGCAACCGTAAATAATTACCAATCTCCATTTAACTCACCATTGTTCTCCTCTTCTCACCATTATCAAACGTTGACGTGAGTCCACGCATAGCGAATCCAGAATATTAAGTACAATCGCCAACATGGGCACAAAGAAAACTCCACCAATACCGTCATCAAGCATGAATTTTAATTAAACAATTTCGTTTTCGCCAAAAATAAAGTCTGAATCGCTCGAAACCAACTGCTTTCAAATCAATTTTTTTGGGTGTGGGATGAGGATAAAGCCTTCTGCCCATGCATGCGAACGAAACATAACCTAACAAGCTCGCTTCCGCGAATCAGATTGCAATTCTGCGTTGAAACAAATAAAAACAGTAATCCAAATAAATATAGGCATTTATTGAAAACGAATACGTAGGCAAAGAATCCGTTAAACGGAAGCCGGGATGAGGTCAATGTAAACATTTGAAAGTCTACGTTAGTAAACAAAGCCTTCGATATATGTTAAATTGAAACAGAAATCGGCGGTAATAGCGTATGGATGGTTCCTTCCTCGATCCCAAGCTCGAGTTCACAAATATACAACATTGCGTTCGATTATAATTATTTTGCAGATCCCACCACCGGCAGCACTCAAATTTGGATTGGATCCCGAGATTGAATTGAATTCATCTGCGTCATTGAACACGCTCTTATACACACACACACACACACACCCAAACGGTTACAATTGTGAAGTGACGGGGCGGAAGAGCCCGAAGAGCGAAGATTTAAATTAGTGCCATTTTCTCCCAAATAGCAGAGAAGGGCAGAGGAAGTGAAAAACGGAATTTATTTGAATATGAGCTCGGTAAGGTTTGGGCGACAAGAACAACCGGACGGACGGGGGCGCTGCTGCTGAATTTCATTAGTGAAATTGATGATCGAAAATTGATTTCTGAGCTACTGAAGTGAGGGTTCTGTGAGACAGACGAAAGTCTAGGCCAGTGTTTGGAGTCTATTTTCGGGTAGTTTTTCGTGTTTTGAGCCATTGTTCAATTGTTCGAAGGAAGCTCCAGGAACGGATGCGGCAGCAGCAGAGCGAATGATAACTAATGAGTTTGGCGGAGCTAGAGGAATTGTTAGGAGCGTTTAATTTCTAGCGATTCTACCAAGCCTAGCGTTCTAAACCACCACACCGGAGCCAACACCAGCACCGGTTCTGAGGTCTATTTGAGCACCATTCCAAACGGCAAGGTGCGGTAACCGAGCGAGATTCTTCACTATAGGCAGAATATTCCAAACCAGATAGTTGAATGAGTAACAGTGCAATGGTTGCGGTGGCCATCTGCTGTATTCTGGTACTGCTGGCAGTATTCATCGTACTGATAATAGTTGTCGGGCAAACGATGGGTGAACCAAAGTGAGATAAGCTCCAACTGGGGCCAGGTCACTTCGCCGATGGATAGCCAAGGCCCCCCGGCTGTTAGAATTCGGATGGATTTTGTTCCACTACTGTCACTGCTAGCGCCGATGGCCGACCGTTTCTAGGCGCACCCCACGCCACTACCACCGATTCCAGTACGACCCTGGCAATGCATCAACGGCGGTTAGCAATCGTCCTGATCCAGTCATATCCGGTTACATCATCAACCACTACAAGTCAGTCCAACGCAACCAAGGACTCAGCGAAAAGGTAGAAGAGATTCCCATAACTCCTAGATCCACCCCAGCTGCAGAAAGCAGCGGAAAGATAAAAGTGATCGTTGTACAAAACGGCAGAAGATACAACTGAAACGTATGCACACATACTCCTTCAACTGTAAATAATCGCTAACGATACTCCTCGTATCTTGTCTTCTTTCAATCTAGCCTAGCAAACAGCACAGCCATGCACACGCTAGCTCCCCATCACTATTCGCGCTTTTGCAAACGAAGTAGTTTAACACTACTGCTACTGCGGCATAGCCGACCCTTTCCCGATCCTTTTCTGATCCTATTTCCCACATGAAAGCGAACGTCAAACACCATCTCACCTTCTCTCTACCTATAGCTCTATTGCTTGCGCCTGCACCTTTCCATCAAAGCAGCTACTGCTCTCACACAAACACACACACACACACTCATTAAACCTTGGCACAATCGCAGCAAGCAAGCAAGGCAAACATTCAAACAGTCTTGTAGAGGACGAAACTACGGAAACCACCAAACAACATCAACAATAAACAACTACCACCGGAGGTAAATAGAAACAAAAACGAAACACAATGGAATAAAATCTTTCTCATCAATTCTACACAGCCAGAAGGGGGCAACAAAGAAAGAAAATTGAAAACACTTATTGAACGTACGCATACTCACATTCAAGCAAAACAAAACGCTGAAAGAAATTAAAAACACACACGCAAAACCTAGGGTTAGTGACATTTGGAAACCGAAACAGTGAAATTGGTAAGTTATTAGGAGTAAAACAAACAAATAGAAAGTTAGCTAAAAACATATCGAGAAACACAGCAAAACAAAAAAAGTAAATTAATTAAGAATGATGAATTCCACCAGAAAGTTTCATCATGGGAAGAGTACGGCAATTTTGCCACCATATTATCAATTCGTTTCAATTGATTCACCATTGGCCGTATCGTTTTGACAAATTTGCAAAACACATATGAATTAGAGTAATGCGTTTATTACATACCGTAGGGGCTGTCATGGTGCACATGACGATTTTTTTTTTTTTTTTTCATTTTCTAAGAAGATCCTTCCCATCTTTCTGGGATGAATTTGAATGATAGACATGTTTGTAGGATATGCTGTGATGAGCGCGGAAGATTATCCTGAAAAATGAGAGAAGCAAGCAAACTCGAACACTGTTTGCCAAATGGGGTACGATAAAATCAAAGGAAAGAAAGGTCAAAAGCTAGATAAGGAAGAAAATATACGAGTGAAGGGCAAAGTTTTATGTGCCAAAGGAAGTAAAGTAACTTTTTGTTTTCTACGTATAGGAAAATACAAACAAATGCGTGGCACGAAAGCATTTCGCAAACAGCGAAATGGAATTTGTGCTAGACTAGTTAACAGTGCGAGATTTTCCCGATGACTGTCGGTTGAAGTGCGTTTTTTTTCGTGAGTAATTCAATTCGGTTGAACTGGCAACACTGTCGGAGATCTTCTTCAAAGTGAAAGTTATGATTTTCACTGCGACATTTGGGAACTAGAAATATTTCGATGAATTTAAGATCACACGTTGACATTAAGGTGAAAGTGGATCGGTTTAGAATTACTCATTTCATCGATTTTTTACAAAATAAAGCAGCGCTCAATCGAAAAAACTCTTCCGTTCAAAATTCAATTTCAAGCGTTAGATTTCGTTTTCCTAAGCAATCAACTGGCTTTTGCATGTATCTGTGCGTAAGCATGCTTGAAGAACAATTTTATTTGAAGGTCGCGCGTGACGTTTTCCATTCGCAATAATTGATGCGTTTGTAAGATATCTATTGGTATTTCAATTCGAAATATTTTGCGAAAATTATCGATAATAGAAAACGGATGCTATTCGGCAATGTCATCTCTGCGTTATCGCAAGAACTCCATTATGAAAGTGCTTGAAAATAAATATTAAAAAAATATTTCTAAATTGAGAGTATTTCTAAGTCATGTTGGAAACGCGTGTATTTGTGAAATAATAAAAAACAATTCAAGTGTGTGTATGTGTAAGCTAATAGAAGCATACTCTTTGAATATTTCAGCCTATTTGATGGAGGTTTTCTGATTTATCTGGATATCTTTTAAGATGAATGGAACTATGTTAGAAATCACTCACCTTTGCCATTGCTAAATGAAATATTTTTCAACTCAAAAGGTTCCTCAATTTTCACATGTTGCTTCACAAGTATTTGAGGATATTCTGCGAAAATTTTAGCCTATTTGATGAAGGTATTCTGTTATAACTTGGTATTTTTAAAGATAATTAGATAAATGGAACTATATCTTCAAATATTGTAGAACTCATCCATCTTTGCCATTGATTTGTAAAATATTTTTTAAACCAATTTGATCTTCAAATTTATCAAGTTGTATCACAAGTATTTGAGTATATTTTGTAAAAATTTCAGCCTTTTTGATGAAGGTATTCTGATATATCTTGGTATTTCTTAAAGATAATTAGATAATTCAATGAACTTCGGCATGAGTTCCCTGAACTTCATCAGGACTTCCCTGATTTCCGAGAATTGAAATGAAAGGACTTCCCTGAACTTCGGAAGCCCTTCCTTGAACTTCGGCAGAACTTCTCTTAACTTCGGCAGAACTTCTCTGAACTTCGGCAGGACTTCCCTGAACTTTAGTAGGACTTCCCTGAACTTCAGTAGATCTTCTCTAAACTTCGGCAGGAGTTCACTGAACATTGTAACTTCCCTATAGTTCGGAGAAAAAAAAACTTCCCTGCACATCGACAGAACTTCTCTGAACTTCTCTGAATTTCCGCAGAACTTCCCTGAACTTCAGCAAGACTTCCCTGAAGTTCGACAAGGCTTCCCTGAACTACGGAAGGACTTTCCTGTACTTCGGCAGGGCTTCCCTGAACTTCATCAGGACTTCGCTGAAGTTCGACAGGCCTTCCCTGAATTACGGAAAGACTTCCCTGAGCATTAGTATGACTACCATGAACTTTGAATCTTGGAATTGAAGTAGTAATTTCAGTAGTAGAATTATTATAATTATACAATAATATTGTGTTTATGAATATGTTCAAAATTTCAATACCTTCCATTTTTTTCTAATTTGCAATGCTTGTTGGTATTGGTGCATTTCGAATTTGGGTGTGGTTTGAACGGGCGTGGATTCAGTATCAACAGAAAAGCATTAACTTTCACCTTAACAGCTGTAGATATATATTACATGGTAATAGTGATAAATACGATACCTGCAATGGGCGAAAGTAAAGTTCACTTTCAATTCGTTTATTTGGTAAGTCTCAACTAATGAGACTTTACGGAGCCGAAAGGAAATCAATTTTACAATATATAAGAACGTTTCATCAAAGGTTTTTGTTACTTTAAACGTGAAGTTTACGTTTTTCAGAGTTGGGAGCTTGCTATACTCATATCAATATAAAGCTTTAGTGCGATAATTTATTAGCTAGAGAAAGTTCTAAAGAGAATAGATTGATAGTTCCGTTAGAGCACGGCAGTGTATAAAATGGAAAAGAAGTTGAAATTGAGCGAAGGGCCATCAATGCGACATTGCTAATCAAATGCGCACTCTTTTGCCTAGCTCACCCTTCATGGGTGAAGGGATTTGGGGTATTTCCACCGATGGTGATATTTCCTCACATCCGCAGGCAAAATACTGAGCGTTTGACTTGCTCTGCGGCTGTGGAATAGTTCTAGTGACGTTTATCACTAACCTAAAGCCCCCGTTCAAATTTCACACTGCCGTACTCTAACGGAACTGTCAATCTATTCTCGTCAGAACTTTCTCTAGCTAATAAATTATCGCATTTCCTCCCAACTCAACCAGCAACCGCAACTTCTGTAATCATTCCAACTGTTTAGGAACCGTTTCATTACGAGTTATCATCCACTCGGCCTCCTCTTTGTTCCCTTCCGATTTTTCTCCGTATCTTGATGCAAAATATTCTTGCCTATTCGAGATTTTGCAAAGTGTCAGAATCCCAGAATTAATACAGAGAACGAAATCACAAACATTTGATTAGTTGCAAGTTCACAATCTCAAACACATTTCAAAGCTAAACATTTAAATATTTTTGCTAGTTTAGCAACTTGAAAACTTCTCATGTTCCCCAATCTTGGAGATTTCTCCATGAACGGAATATTGAATTTTAAATAAAACTCCATGAATTTTTAATATTTTTCTAAATCCAGGATCATACAATAGCCTTAGCGTATAAACTAAAAAAATCGAAGTCTAAGAATTTCCATTTTGACGTAGGATTACGTCTTTCGGCAACATATGGGGGGTGCAATTTCAAAAAACTAAAATCGACCGCGTTACGAAAAGTGGTCAGGCTTTGAGCACTTATAACTCTGCCAATAGTGGATGGATTTTAATCCTAAACAAACCAATCGATTAGAAATTTTTCTACAAATCTGCTTAAATGAACACGTTATTAATTTTCAATAACTCACTATTGAAAATTACACAAATAACTGCTGCAATGGTGATGAGAATTATTATCGATTGCCTACCAAAAGCGCTTTCCCTAGCACAGTCACCGAAGTAATTCTACGTCAAATCTACGATCGTGTCTTGTATACAAACTCTTACTTTTTTTATCCGCAGGATCTAGAATATGTTCAAGGTAAAATTTATTCCCTCATAATTTTGCCCATAATTGAGAGAAAAATAAAACACGCGCAGGTTACTTGACGTTCAACTACAGAATAGCTTTTATTCAATGTTCAACAGTATACTTAACAAGGTGGGTAGTAAA